CGTCAGTTAACGTTAAGGTCAGTACAAAAACCGGGAAATAGCGGTGTACATCGTGACTACTTACTAGACGACGTTATACGAGCTGCTTCTGTATGAATGGATGTCGTTGCTTCTGTCTCGAAGGTCAGCTTGACGACAGTCTGAACGGCGGTTCTTCATTGGCCTCCTTGTAGCCACGTCAAGGCTTCTAGTCCGCGAGCGCAACTGTCACTGCCTTCCTTTGCCGGCCTCTTAACGCGCAAGCTCCAGGTTTGGAATGTCATTTCGTGGCTGCAACAAGCGAGAGTGGTCATTTCATGTTTAATAACATTGATTGCATGTCGTTCTTTGTGAGTGATGAGGTAAGCCGTGAGCGATGCATCTATGGGTCAAAAGCTCGGCTGCACAAAAGACTGCTGACATCACCATTCAGTTGACTACGTTAATTAGCTAATTTGCTGGCACATCTCATCAGCAGCTCTACCATGCACCGTCACGATAAAAACAAATAGCAAACGCCGTCAAGTGATAGTCACAGTGCAAGATTTCCACGCCGTTTCAGATGGTCGCCGCTGATCACCTCATTTCCCAGCTCGTCAACCTCGGGCCTGGTTGTTTGGCTTCGTAATGTTCCCTGCGGATTAACCGTTGGTCGTCATGTTTCTGTAGCAGCTAGTTATTAATGGAAATAAGCGGCACAGTTCTTTTTTTCCCACATGCACTGAGTCAATCCTGTTTAACGTACCAAACGAGAAATGTTCACACGTATATACGGAGAGGACAGGATGCATGCTTCATGAATTATTCAGTCTTATGGCCTTCGTGGCACTCACAGCGACCACTTTACACCGGCTGCTACAGAGGTGGAGGAGGCATGGACTTGTGTTGTAAACGTGACAGGTTCGAGTCCCAGCGCGGTGTAAATATTTCCTATTAACTGCTAGCTTCCGTGTGTAAAGATTTTGCTCTTCGTTGTTACCACCAGATCAGCCGAGATACGAGTAGCTAGACCATGACCTACGAATAACAGGAACAGTGTTGTGCTCTGGGTGGCTACGCCAGAGCACGAGAGGCGTCGGCTATGATGCCAGATGCATGGGCTTTGATTCACCTTGTAGCAGAGATCGGCATAAGTTATTTTCTGCATGCTGGCAGTTTGCAATGATGAAATTGAAATCATGCCAGTGGCATTTAAATCCACAGTTATGCTATGTCCAGCGCAGCCAAAATGACTTTATTGCAGTAGTTTTTGCTGTCCGGAAGTGACCTGGTTATTGGGTGGTATGAGATGGTGATCACGGTTAACAGCTATGATAATTGATGACTCGTTATGAGCAAAATGGTTAACCATAAAGAAACGGAAATCACTGGTTATTAGGTTCCTTTATGAATTTTATGAGACACGTTCTAGCCACAAACCCCGCCGTAATTCCTAATCCCAAAGAGAATATAATAAATTATGGTAATAAATGCTTTTCATCGTGCTGTACGCCGTATGACGAGAATGAGGATTAGCGGTAAGGTATTCAGTTTCTAGAGCAAGTTTCTTGCATGGTACTTGATATG